ACGTACTATACGTACTATACGCACTATACGCACTATACGTAAAGTATCGTATAGTGTCGTATAGTGTTCAACTATACACTATTTGCCCATCTCTAGTTCCAGGACAAGACCATTGGTTTTTGGTCATTTTGAACGGTACGATACGTCGGAGCAAGGTGAAGATCTAATAGTAGACAACGGCTGACATCTCGCAAAAAAATTTAAAAGAAACACGATTTCCTTTCAGTCAAATATCTGTTTCGCTCAACCCTGACGTTTTGAACCAAAACAGACAAGTTTTTCGGTTTCACAAATCATGACAAATAGATAGAAATTGGGATTCGTACGATACGGCGACGTAAAATAACAACAACCATTTATCATTTTTGGAAAACGAAAACATTTCTGTTCAAATTTCAATTTTATTTTATTTAACAAATTTCAAACAATTTGCAAATCATTTCAAGCCAGCGCAGCAAAAAAAAACGACACCTCACAAAGTTTTACCCTTTGATTTTGATCTCATCCTTCCCCAAAAATTCCGTTTACTAAAGTTGAGAAACAGGATGTTTAGAAGATTTGTGGTAATTCGTTATCGTTACAAGTATCCACGAATCTTCTTTACAATTAAATATAGTGTGCTATGAAAAAAATTGAATTCAGTTTTTTTTTATCAACGGTGCTTTAATTTTAGTTAAATGAAAGCTTATTTATGTCTCCTTTTTGTTACCCCCCTCCACATATATAAAAAATCGTTAAAAAAAATATAACTGAAAAAAAAAGAAATTGGTAGGGAAATGTCTGTTAGAGAAATTTTTATTTTATTTTACGTTGTAATTAGAAAATTTTGAATTCACATAAATTTTTGGGTATTTAAAATCCACATGCCAAATTTTGTTATAAAATTCTTTCACATACAGGGTGTTAAGAAAAAAACGGCGGTTGGTAAAAATATTGTTTTTAATGAAAAAGTAGCTAAAATTATATGATGAAAATTATAACAGAGAACCGGAGGATCTTAGATTATAACATATGAAATTTTTGAAGCATGTTATTATGTAGGCTTTAGAGTAATTATTAAAGAAATTTACACATTGAATTGTTTTTTTCAAAATAATCAAATTCCTTTTATTCCCAATTGACAAAATTCTAGAAAATCTGGAAGTATGAAGGTTTATATATATAATCTCCTGAACTTTCATTACACACTGGTATAATTTTTTGTATGATTATTATGTATTAAAAATTACCGTGTTAAAATTTCAGAGACAAAAATTTTGCAAAGTTTTAAAAAAAAGATATGAATTGGCTTTACAGAAAATTGGCAATAGCATATCATGTCTATTTTTTTTTATTTAACAAGGTAATTTGATGAACTTTCAAACGAATCTAAATTTATTTAATTATGTTATGTGATATGCAATTTTTGTCACCGCCGTTTTTTTCTTAACACACTATATGTGAATTTTCACATAATTTCGATTCATGCACAACAATACTAAACAAAAAATTTAATCCCTCTTCGCTCCCAGCAGTATCCCTTTGATATATATTTGAAAATATATATCCAACAAATTAGCCAAAATATGTTACTAGTAACCTGTCATCTAAATGACAAAATCTTAAGATAATAATCTTAAGTCCTTCCTTTTTTAGCTCAAAGATAACTTAATTTTTTAGCTTAAGGATAACCATCACTTCCTTTTCAGATAAAGGATAACTGTTTCTGATTTCCTTTTCAGCTTAAGGATAACTATCTTTAATACTAATATCTAAATGAAATTCCTTATTATATACTGTATATATGAAAATATATATAATCACTCTATTTCCTTTCGAGGTGTCCCACTAATTAAATAATTATTTAATTATTTAAGGAAGCATTTCAATAAGAAATATTCAGGTAATTTCGCCAAGAAATTGAATTGCAAAGTATTTATTATTATTTCTGTGTATCGTCAAAAAAACCTGTACCCTGCCTGTGCTTTTCAAAAGATACAGGTCACACTGTATCAAATTTTTCCTGCAGGACAAGGCGTTTTTTTGATTATGCAAGTTACCATCATCATAGTCTATGTTTACAATAAACTTTTTATTATTATAATTAACATTAAAAAAGATAAATCAATTTTCAAAAAAAAAAACACGGTAATTCAATCTCGTGCATTTCATATTTAATACCCAAATATAGTTTCAAAAAAAAATAATATTTTTAAGTCAGTAGAGATTCCGTACAATATTTTTTTATATTTTTTAATTTTGTACGGAACGGAATTTGTGAGTTCTGAAAAGTTGATTGGCGGGGTCAGTCTGTATGATCTTCGATTCCATATTTTTGTTTCATGCAGAGCATTTTTTACTTACGGAATACGGAACCTCTATAGACTCAATATTTTTATGTATCAATTTTTTCATTCAACAATTGAAATTTTGAATATCACAAAAATATGGATCATAATCTCGAAACCATCCATGAAAGATATTATAATAAAAAGGTGGAAAAAAATTGTTTAAGATCAAATCTTCATCTTCCGATAAAGAATCATTGAACCTTTCTGTTGATATAAATCCAACTTCAACTCTGCATGAATTTCTAAATGAGATAAATAAAACTCCATCAACAGCATCAACAGTGCCTATTATTAGCGTCCTTTATAAGCTTGATAATTCAATTTATAAGCAACTCGAGAATTTAGAAATAATATTTAAATACGTTAACTTAGTCATATCAATCTTTTCACAAATAATCCGAATAGTGTACTCTTGGTGACCCATCAAAGCCCAATTATATATTGTATTAATTACACTACCAAAAGTATGCCTTTGATGCTCTGGAACACTTTCTTGCATAGTTGGTACTTTCTGGTACTACCACTTCATGTCAAAAAAATAGTCTATGCTTTGGCGCACCACCTTTACGTATTACTGGATCGAAAAATTCGGCCGATGCTTTGATGTACCCCATTTACATATTACTGGATCGAAAAATTTGATCTCTTTTCTGTTAGAGAGACAATTATCAAATATGTTAATGTAGCAAAACAGCAAAAAATACAACCTGCTATCCAATAAAAAATTGATGCCAATTTAAATTAGAAATAACAATTTTTTTTTTCAGACACTTCTCAAAGGCAAGTGTCATTTTATCAACATTATCCCAGTCAGACATATAATTTTTGGTATGACGATTGGATCATAATTCTTTTCTAAATGTATGTTAATTATCTTATAAAAATATAAAAAGAAAATTCGCAGATCTCAGTTTATAAATGAGATTCCACAGGGAATTATTTTGCAACAAAAACGATGTAAATGAAATTCCTCTCATTGCGAATTTATATATTTGGAACGTAGAAAATGAACAACACTAACGATTCTAATACGCCAAAATCAAATCTAAACCCAAATCTGAACCTGAAAACAAGAATAGGAAAAACAGATATAGTAGATAAAATTGGCGTTGCGTGATTACTTTAATAATCTTTAGGATCATTTATTAAGTCTTTCATTTTATTTAAAATCAGATGAATTACTTAGAAAGATGTAAGGAAAATGATAATAATGATAACGAGAATCCTGGTAAACGAGAAGAAATGCTAGACCAAAATTAACAAATAATTTGTATCAACACCGGGTGATAATGATATGTGGGAATCGGGCAGTAAAATCACCCATTGAAAAATTGGGATCAAAGTTGGTTATACTATATAAAACTTGACTCAACAATTTTCTTTGTTACCTAATACTAATTACCCATTTTATAATAAGTAAAAACAAGGTCTGATATTTTTACCAATTTTAACTCAATTTTGGTTAGGAGGTCTGGCTCCCATATATTTATTTCTATGTTTGCAGTGTGTAACTGCAATACGATTTTTTGTTACTGTTCAGTGACATTTTTTTATATATATCAATAAAGCTGATAATATAGGCCGATTTTAAAGAGCCGCTCAGTCAAGATGCAATGCACTAATGTATAATTTTGCCTCAATAGTTATATACATTGGTATAATTTGTTATTATATGATTGAAATTTTTTTGCAAGGTAAGTTTACCATAGATGTTTAGCTTCAGGCTTTTGTTTAAACCTCTTAGCATTTCGAAAATAATATTTGGAAGACCTGTGAAACAATTAACCCGGTGTTTCTCCATTCTACATGATAATATCCTCCATATACCTACTCTGACCAATATACACGAGTTGATTCCAGAAATAACATATAGCCCACCTGATTGGAACTGTACGTCTTAATCCTTCCAAGAGAAATTTTGAAGCTTGGACTGGTATAATGTTGTTTTTTCGAAATAAATCTACTTGCTAGGTGTTTCACAAACAGTATTCTTTTCATTCAGACTCAGCCATTTTGGCTCCAGAATGTATAGTATTAGTATAGGATTATAGTAGATATTATGTGACTTATGTTTTATTTATGTTCGATACGATTAAGAAATATATGTTCAAATTTATAAGCATCATATTCATCTACTGATATTACGGCAGACGATTAAATTTTTTTTAAGAATTAATTTCAGATCAAGAGAAAGTAACTGATATAAATTTTAATAATATATTTTTCATACAAGCTTTACAACTAATACAAAAATGAATACATAATTTATTGAATAGGTAAATTTGATGGAGTAAACCAGCTAAGCAGATAAGAAACAAACACTAGATCTCCCTTCGGACTGTTGAAGACCCCTCCTGCATAGTAAACAGCGACTTTCTTGTCCCCGATGGTAAAAGTTTTTTCTTGATCCTGAAAGCTTTGTTCAGGGCTCTTAAGTAATGTCTGAATAACTTTGCCAAGATGCTTACCCAAATCTGTGAGATCTGATTGGTTAAAACCGTCTGTAATTTCTGCCTATTAAGAGTGGCAAATTCAGCGAAGGATTTCCGTTATTTTTATATGTCTTAATTGTTAAAGAACTTGTAACCAAATAATACTTTACCTCCAAATAATCAGCTACTATCGCACCTGTGAAATTCTGATCAAACCATCCCGTTCCGAAAATTGCACCATGAGTTACCGCGCCATCAGGTTTAGTTTCATTGTCATCCCAGATATATCTATAGTGATCGGACCAGTTAGCCTTCAAGTAATCCAGCGCAGATTTGTCGATCCAAGCTAACTGTGCTTTTAGACCATCTCTTGGAAAAGGGGGAGCATTAGGAATGCTTATAGCCTCGCAAACAGGATCAATATTATTGACATTACCAAAATTTTGAATGATGACTGTTGTATTATTATTTGTGGGTGTGGAAGTGTTATTGCCCATTGTAAAAAGTTTTTTTCTGATTCTGAGAAAAGTAAGTAAATTTCTAAGGTTTTCAAACAGTCTTTAAATACAATTTATCTCTCATGTCAGAAAACTGGATTCTCGGCTTTGTCAATTGTGTGACTACGCGTATATACGAAAACAACAGTTTTTTGTATCGGCTAAAATTATATGGGGATTTTTTTGGGGCGTATATTTGTGTAAATCTTAATATGTTGTTCAGCATTTAAATGGGCTGATTGTTATTTTATTCCATTAAAAGATCATTTACACTTCTTTATGTCCAAATGGTTAATTGGTTAAGACTTTATTTTTGATCCGTTATTTAACTAATTATTTACAATTAAAAAATTCCTTTTAGAAATAACAATAAATAAACTTATAATACGAATTAATATTCTATTAAAGGTAGTGAAACCACATGGTAAATTAATAACAAACTAGAGGAATGCTTTATGACGAAGTCACTTGTGAAACTTTTTTATTTTAATTAAAAAAAATTTCTTCGAAATAAGCTTTTTTGGCAAATCATAATTTCATAATGTGGTACGAGGCCTTTTATTTATGTAAACATAAAACATAAAATACGAATACATCAAATTTTTTGGAGTAATACGATTTTTTTATGTTTCAAGATCAAAAATATTGAATGAGCGTTAATTCATTAACACCACGAAGTCATAAGAAAGCTGGAAGATTGTTCTTATGTCATATTTCCAAATAATTACAGTAAAACTATAATATGAATCAATATTATAGTAAGTCATAATGATTCTTCGATTCGATTATGATGATAAATATTTAAATAACTACGATAATGATTAGGAATATGACGGTTCCAAATTGGTTCCAACCGGTTCTGGAACTGGTTGGAGCGGATCTCAAATAATGAAATTGCTAGTTTTGGAGGAGATTTTCTGGCGAGAAAATAGAATTTACTTGTACCCAATTTTAAAGGGTATTACTTATTATAGTTAAGTGGTTGAACTTTTCTAAAATTAATGACCGATTTGGAACCGCCCATCCCTATAATGTATAGAAGTAATAATGTGAATAAGGATGTAAAATAAATGTTGAAAGATAATGCATTGTTATAATATTAAACATATTGTATTGTAACAATAAGAAATATGCATTCAGATTAATTAATATCAATAATTTATTCATAACTTAATTTGACGGAACATTTCCTAATTTAGCAATTATTATTATCTTTATAATAAATAATGATCGTCGTTAAACAATTACACAGTGAATCATTTATCCGTAACTCAAGCGGAAAATTTCCTGATTTAGCAATTACTATCATTATAGTTTCAAAACATGATCGTCGGCCGTTATAAACAGTTACACAGTGAATCATTAATCATTTATGTAATTTATGGCATTATTTGCAACAGTAGTAACTATTTATGATATTAGTAACTATTTGGTAATAGCTATTTGCAATGATCAAATTTCCAAATATATTAAATATACAAATAGAAAATCATTAGATTATCATATACTTTATGCATAATTTGCATAAATTCTAAATTTACACAAATTTCAAAATTTTGTACCAGTACAATATATACTTATGTATTCTTTTTGAGAAATGAATGGTTCGATAATAATTATTTGCGAAAAATCTTTTTCAAGAAGCATTTCCCTCTTGATAATACTAATATTAAATTTCCAAATACGTTACTTTATGTGTATGTACAAATAAAAAATCATTAATGTTTTACATTATCCACGGTTAAAACTTTTTTAGTAATAAAATAATTTTTTTATGAGATCAAAAACGATTCTTCCGAATCATTTTTGAGGCTTTTGTACGTGAAAATGAAATTATGTGAATTCGAAATTCAAATTTACATGTGAAATTCAAATTAGCCAATCAGAATTTCACTCCACTCCATATTTCAATTTCACATACAACAAGGCTATAAAAATGTAATAGTAAGCATTTTACACCCTCCTATCTTCATCCAATACTTGATCAACTTATTGGGAGAAAAAATTCTGAACTTATTATTAATCAAAAAATATAGTCAACTTTATTCTTCTGCAAAGATAAAAGATTATTATGCATAGCCCATTTAAATGTTGGGCAACATATTAAGATTTACACAAATATACACCCCAAACCCGATGTAATTTTAGCCGATACAAAAAATTGTTGTTTTTGTATATACGCACAGTCACACAATTGACAAAGCCGAGAATCCAGTTTTCTGGAATAGTATTTAAAGATTTTAGATATTTACTTACTTTTCTGAAAAAAAAACTTTTTACAATGGGCAATAGCAATTCCACATTCATCGCTCAAAATTTTGGTAATGTCAATAATATTGAATCTGTTTGCGAGGCTATAAAAATTCCTGGGGCTAAAGATTATCCAAAAGATGGTCTACAAGCACAGTTATCTTGGATTGACAAATCTGCGCTGGATTACTTGAAGACTAACTGGTCCCAACACTATAAATATGGCTGGGATGGCATTGAAACTAAACCTGGTGGCGCGACAAGTTATGGTACACTTTTCGGAACGGGATGGTTTGATCAGAATTTCACACTTTCGAATGTATCTGATTATTTTCAGGTAAGGTATTATTTGGTTCCAAGTTCTTTAACAATTAAGACATATAAAAATAACGGAAATCCTTCGCTGAATTCGCTACACTTAATAGACAGAAATTACAGAAGGTTTTACTCAATCACAACTTGTGACTTTAAGCAATGAAATTGCCAAAAATCTTCAGCAATTATTTAATGACCCCGAACAAGGCTTTCGGAACGATGTAATAACTATCACCATCGGGGACACCAAAGTCAATGTTTTCTATGGAGGAGGGACTTTCAATGGTTTGAAGGGAAATATAGTGTTTATTTCTTATCTGATTAGCTGGTATACTCCAGCATCTCTAGTTATACAATAAATTATGTATTCATTTTTGTTTTAGTTGTAAAGTTTGTATGAAAAAGATATTATTAAAATTATAGCTGTTCGCCATGCTGGACAAAATTGTTTTGTAATTAATTGCAACATTTTGTTGTAAAAAAATAATTGGAACATTTTGTTGTAATTAAATTTTTATTAAAACATCATCTAATCTAATCAAATTTATTTCTTTATAACACTAGTTATAAATCTTAATTTACATATTATAAAATCAACTGATCATGCGATTATTACATATTACGTTTTTGGCAAGACGATTATCATCTCATGTATAATTAATATACACACACACTGAAAATCATGTATTTTTCCGCAAAAATATCCGCAATTTTGCGCAGCATCATGAAAATATCCAATTTTATTGGTGGGTTGGGTGCGTGTTATCCTTATTTAGAA